GTAGAAAGACATAGAGTGAGTGGAGGGAACAGGGAGCAGACATAGAGGGACTTGGAGTTGGGTGTAGAGGAACGTGGAGTAGATGTAGAGGAACATGAAGTTGAGCATAGAGGAACATGGAGCTGATGTAGAGGAACATGGAGCTGATGTAGAGGAACATGGAGCTGATGTAGAGGAACATGGAGTTGGGTGTAGAAGGACATGGAGTAGATGTCGAGGAATGTGGAGTAAATGTTGAGAAACACGAAGTAGACGTAGAGGAACTTGGAGTAGACGTAGAGGGACATGGAGTAGACGTAGAGGAAGACAGAGTAGACATAGAGAAATATGGAGTTGAGCATAGAAGGACACAGAGTAGACGTAGAGGAATGTGGAGTAGATGTAGAGGGACATGGAGAAGATGTAGAGGTACATGGAGTAGATGTAGAGGAACATGGCGTAAATATAGAGGAACATGGAGTAGATGTAGAGGAACACAGAGCTCCTCCATGCCCCGTCCCCCACCAAACAGCACAAAGTTAATGAGCGGTCTTCTTTTAATCATCAATATTTTCATTAAACTGCTTCTGCTCCGGGTGCACGGGGTTAAATCACCATTAAGCTCATGGTAAATATTTGCAGGTGGGTTCGAGTACTCGGCCATGGGTGACGTAAATTCGCCTCCCGCGGCCGTTGCAACCATCCCGTCACAAAAAGCCTTTTATTTTATTTAAAAAAAACAAAAGCCATGGTAAAAAAAACCCGTAACCAGCCCCAAGGTCCTTTTCTTTTTCTCCAGGATATGGGCACGGCTCCGTGTTGTCCTTGAACCCCGTCCAATGTTCTCGCCACGGTTTGTGGCCTTTTTATATTGATTTTTAAAGGGCATGAACGGGGCTGGGCGCGGGGTTCTTCTCTCTGAGTGTTTTTCCATCCGAGGGTGTTTGAGCTGATGATTTAACTCTGTAATCCACTGAATCGTCCAAATAATTTCCCCAGGGTGGGTTGAATCGGCCCTTGCAGGAGCCCTAAACTCTTCTTGGTGGGGAATGGACCATGAAGGTCCAGAGATGATGGAGACCATGAACGTTTAGAAATTATGGAGATGATGATGGTCTAGATATCATAGAGACCGTGAAAATCTAGATGTGATGGAGACTGTGAAGGTCTGGATATGATGGAGACCATGATGGTTCAGATAGGATGGAGATGATGAAGGCCCAGATATTATAGAGACCATGAAGGTCCAGAGATTATGCGCACCATGAACGTTTAGAAATTATGGAGATGATGATGGTCTAGATATCTAGATTTTCATGGTCTCTATGATATGATGGAGATTGTGAAGGTCTGGATATGATGGAGACCATGAGGGTGCAGATAGGATGGAGATGATGAAGGTCCAGATATTATAGAGACCATGAAGGTCCAGAGATGATGGAGACAACTAAAATCTAGATATAATGGGGACCATGAGGGTCCAGGTATGATGGAGACCATTAAAATCTAGATATGATGGAGGCCATGAAGGTCTAGATATCATAGAGATGATGAAGGTCCGGATGTGATGGAAATGATGACGTTTCAGATATGATGGAGATGATGAAGGTCTGGATATGATGGAGACCTCGAAGGTCCAGGTATCATAGAGACCATGAAAGTTTAGATATAATGGAGATGATGAAGGTCCAGATATGATGGGACCATGAAAGTTTCAATATCATAGAGACCATTAAAATCTAGATATGATAGAGACCATGACAGTGTAGATATGATGGAGGTGATGAAGGTCTGGATATGATAGAGACCATTAAAATCTAGATATCATAGAGGCCAGGAAGGTCCAGATATGATGGAGATGATGAAGGTCCAGATACCATAGAGACCATGAAAATCTAGGTATGATAGAGATGCTGAAGGTCTGGATATGATTGAGATGATGAAGGTCCAGATATGATGGAGACCATTAAAATCTAGATATCATAGAGACCATGAAGGTCCAAATATCATGGAGACCATTAAAATTTAGATATGATGGAGACCATGAAGGTCTAGATATGATGGAGATCATAAAAGTCCAGGTATGACTGAGATAATGAAGGTGCAGATAGGATGGAGAACATGAAGGTCCAGAGATGATGGAGACCATGAAAGTCTAGACATTATGGAGATGATGATGGTCTAGATATCATAGAGACCATGAAAGTATAGATATTGTGGAGACCATGAAGGTCCAGAGATGATGGAGACCTTGAAGGTCCAGGTTTCCTAGAGATGATAAAGGTCCATAGAGACCATTAAAATCTAGATATGATGGAGACCATTAAGGTCCAGAGATGATAGAGACCATGAAGGTCTAGATATGATAAAGACCATTAAAATATAGATATGATAGAGACCATGAAGGTCTAGATATGATGGAGACCTTTAAAGTCTAGATATGATGGAGATTATGAAGGTCCAGCTATCATAAAGACCATGAAGGTCTGGATATCATAGAGACCATGAAAGTCCACATGTGATGGAGGAAGGTCTGGATATCATAGAGACCATGAAAGTCTACATATGACGGAGATCATTAAGGTCCAGATATGATAGAGACCGTGAAAGTTTAGATGTCATAGAGACCATGAAGGTCCAAATATGATGGAGACCATGAAGGTTCACTATCATGGAGACCATTACAATCCAAATATCATAGAGACCAAGAAGGTCTAGGTATGACGGAGACCGAGAAGGTTCAAATATGATGGAGACCATGAACATCTAGACATGATGGAGACCACGAAAGGTTGATAGGACCTTCCTAGAGGTGCCATAAGGCAACAGAGCAATTTTTAGGGGTCACCGTCCCCGAATATTTCACTCGACCTCTCTTTTTCTCTTCCAGGATGTGATGAACATCTTGAGCAGGTACGGAGCACCCCCATCTTTCCTCAAAAACCCCCATTTTTTACCTTTTCTCCCCTATTTTTTCCTTATTTCCCTCCCCCACCGCCACATTTTTATATCAAGATTCGCAATCTAAGTGCCAGAAGAAGGGCAAATTTTGCCTCTTATGTGGTTATCTTCCAAATTTTGGGGAAAAATCTACCACTATCACAAAGCCTTTTCCCACCAAGCAGCTTCTTCGACGGTCAAATAAGCCCAGAACCCCCAAATTCTCTGATTTTTCCTGCTGCAAAACTCACCCAGGGCGACGTTTTAGGCACCGTTTTGGCTCCGAAAATGAAATTTAAGCAGCTCAGCACCCTTCACAATGGGTTTTTTTTTCCTGAACTGACACGGAAATCCCGGCGTCCTGAACCAAATCCCAACGCAAGGGGACGCTGAGCGCTGCCGAGAAGAAGAAAAAGGGGGGAAATATGGATAAATTTCTTATTTTTTTTTTTATGTATTCTTTTTTTCGCTTGGCAGAAGCGATGACGTGAAGTGCCAGAAGCCGGTGCCGGTTTGCACGGATATGAAGATGCACGTCTGCAATTTCTCCCTCAAAACCGTGGTCCTGGAGAAAGTCTTAAAGAAATTTAGAGGTACCCGTAAACGAAACCGGGTGCTGGGTGAGGGGTGGAAATTTAAAATAGTCCTGGCCTTTAGGAGGCATTGGGGGGGGTGGAAATCGGATGAGGAGATGCTGAGGATGCTGCGGATGTCTCGAAGTTCCCGGGACCGAAATAGGAGGGTGAATTATGGCGGAGATGCGCGTGAGCGGGCCAAGCTATTTAAAAATATCTCTATTTTATTTTCTATTGATAAATTTTCTATTTACATTTGATCAATATTTTTACTGGGGCAAAACCAGACCCGGCGCATGAATTTTAGAGCGGTAAAACTTGCGATAATCGGGTCGCGATGGCCAAACTTTTTTGGGGGGGTTAAAAGCTTGCAGTGATGCGGCAAAACCACGAGGTGGCGCTGGAGGATTGGGAAAAGAAACGAGCGCCACAAAGAATAAAAAAAGGAGCAAATTTTGGGGGAAAATAAATCCCTAAATTCAAACCAATTTCGGCTTAAAGGATCGCGCTGAGAGTTTGAGACTCGTGATAAAACGGGGAGAACAAAATATGGCAAAGTGTGATTAATAAAATTTAAATAAATCCTCATTTTTCTCAACGTCCAGAAGTTTTTTCATAGAAAAAATAATTAAAATTAAATCTATTTGGCAGGAATTTCCCCCATTGCCGTGAGTTGGTGGGAGCCTCACCCTCATTTCTTGCTGCCTATTGAGTCCCAAATCGCCCAAAATTGGCAATTTAGTGGCGTGTTGGGGGTGTAAAAGTCCCCGTAAGGGATATTTTGGTGGTTTTCTTTGTGTTGCCATTTATTTGCTTGGTTTTTGTGTTGGTTTTTTTTTTTCCCCTCTAGAAAACCTGCGAGACGAACTGGGAAGAGGTGAAAAAGGTAAAAGGCAAATATTTGAGCCGTAGCGCCCCTCGGAGCAAAGACTTGAAATTGTGGTTGTATTTCGCAAAGCCAAAGAGAGAGGGGGAAAAAAAAAAATTAGGGGGGGAAAAAAAAAGAATTAAAATTTAATTTTTAAACGATTTTTTTTAGTTTTAATTTCTTCTCTCTCGATGATTTCCAGATCCAGCCTGCTCAGTTCGAGAGTCAAAAGACGATTTTTTCTAGCTGACGCCGGGGATCTGACAGCCATGCCAGGTCCTTTCTGCCTGCTTATACTTCATGAAACTAGAGAAAAAAAACCCCAGATAATTCAATCCAAAAATGGATTTGTAGCCTTTCAAGCCACGGCTTCCTTTAAATTTGCCAGATTTCCTCTGTGGCTGGGCTCTCATTTCCACTGGGGTTGGGGACGGAGGGTGTTGGGCTCCGTAATCGGCTCTGGTCCAAATTTGGGTGATTTGGGGGTTGGACTTGATCTTTAAGGACCTTCCCAACTCATTCTATGGCTTTGGACTCATTGATCTTTAAGGACCTCCCCAACCCAACTCATTCTATGGCTTTGGACTCATTGATCTTTAAGGACCTTCCCAACCCAACCCATTCTATGACTTTGGACTCGATGATCTTTAAGGACCTTCCCAACCCAACTCATTCTATGACTTTGAACTCACTGATCTTTAAGGACCTTCCCAACCCAACCCATTCCATGACTTTGAACTCACTGATCTTTAAGGACCTTCCCAACCCAACCCATTCCATGACTTTGGACTCATTGATCTTTAAGGACCCTCCCAACCCAACCCATTCTATGACTTTGGACTCATTGATCTTTAAGGACCTTCCCAACCCAACCAATTCCATTACTTAGGAGTCAATGATCTTTAAGGACCTTCCCAACCCAACCCATACTATAACTTTGGACTCGATGATCTTTAAGGACCTTCCCAACCCAACCCATTCTATGACTTTGGACTCATTGATCTTTAAGGACCTTCCCAACCCAACCAATTCTATGACTTTGGACTCAATGATCTTTAAGGACCTTCCCAACTTAACCTATTCTATGACTTTGGACTCATTGATCTTCAAGGACCTTCCCAACCCAATCCATTCTATAACTTTGGACTCATTGATCTTTAAGGACCTTCCCAACCCAACCCAACCCATCCAATGACTTTGAACTGGGCGATTTTTAAGGTCCCTTCCAACCTTGCTGACTACAACCACAATTTTTGGTCACTAACGCGCTCGTTGTTTCCTTTAAACTTGATTTTTTTGGGGGAGGGGAAAAGGTGTTAGGACCTAATTTTGTCTACATGCATGGTCCTCGTCCGGATGTGATCTGGTGTGGGATGGGGTTGTTGAGGTTGAGACGTGGTTCTTGAGGTCGTGATGGGGTTGTCGAGGTTGGAGTGGGGTTGTTCAGGTTGGGATGGGGTTGTTGAGGTCAGGATGGGGTTGTTGAGTTTCAGGTGGGGTTGTTGAGGTCGGGATGTGGTTGTTGAGGTCAGGAAGGGGTTGTTGAGGTGAGGATGGGGTTGTTGAGGTTGGGATTGGGTTGTTGAGGTTGAGATGTGGTTGTTGAGTTTAAGACGGGGTTCTTGAGGTTGGGACGGGGTTGTTGAGGTAAGGATGGGGTTGTTGAGGTGAGGGTGGGGTTGTTGAGGTCAGGACTTGGTTGTTGAGGTCAGGACTTGGTTGTTGAGGTCAGGATGGGGTTGTTGAGGTCGGGATGGGGTTGTTGAGGTCGGGATGGGGTTGTTGAGGTTGGGATGGGGTTGTTGAGGTGGGGATGGGGTTGTTGGGGTTGGGATGGGGTTGTTGAGGTTGAGATGTGGTTGTTGAGTTTGAGACGTGGTTGTTGAGTTTGAGACGTGGTTGTTGAGTTTGAGACGTGGTTGTTGAGGTCAGGATGCGGTTGTTGAGGTCAGGATGGGGTGGCTGAGGTTGGGATGGGGTTGTTGAGTTTGGGGTGGGGTTGTAGAGGTTGGGATGTGGTTATTGAGGTCGGAATGGGGTTGTTGAGGTAAGGATGGGGTTGTTGAGGTGAGGATGGGGGTGTTGAGGTCAGGACTTGGTTGTTGAGGTCAGGACTTGGTTGTTGAGGTCAGGTGTTGAGGTAAGGATGGGGTTGTTGAGGTGAGGGTGGGGTTGTTGAGGTCGGGGTGGGGTTGTTGAGGTCAGGATGTGATTGTTGGGGTCAGGACTTGGTTGTTGAGGTCAGGACGTGGTTGTTGAGGTCAGGATGGGGTTGTTGAGGTCAGGACTTGGTTGTTGGGGTTGGGATGGGGTTGTTGGGATTGGGTTGTTGAGGTTGAGATGCGGTTGTTGAGTTTGAGACGTGGTTCTTGAGGTCGTGATGTGGTTGTTGAGGTCGGGATGGGGTTGTTGAGGTGAGAATGGGGTTGTTAAGTTCAGGATGGGGTTGTTGAGGTCGGGATGTAGAAAACTGATTGAGCTGCCTCTGTCACCCACAGAGGACCTGACCCTGGACCCCGATTCGGCGAACCACCTCCTCATCCTCTCGGCGGACCTCAAGACCGTCAGGATGGGCTGTCGGAAACAGGAGCTGCCTGACAACCCCAAGAGATTTGACACCAACTCTCGGGTGTTGGCCACCACCGGCTTCAAGTCGGGAAGACATTACTGGGAGGTGGAAGTGGGTGCCTCGGACGGTTGGGCCTTCGGGGTGGCCAAGGAGTCGGTCAGGAGGAAAGGCCTGACTCAGTTTTCCCCCGAAGAAGGGATTTGGGCCGTCCAGCAAAACGGGGGCCGCTATTGGGCCGTCACCTCGCCCCAACGCACCCCGCTGTGCCTCAGCCAGAAACTCAACAAGGTGAGGGTCTACCTGGATTACGAAGGGGAGGAGGTGTCCTTCTACGACGCCGACAACATGCAGCACATCTTCACCTTCAACGTCGCCTTCCGGGAGAAGGTTTTCCCCCTCTTCTCCGTCTGCTCCACCGTTACCTACATCAAACTCTGCTCCTGAGGCTTCGCTCGAGGACCTTTCCCCGTGGGCTTCACGAACACCAGGGACTTTTGTGGGTGGGTGGGGGTAATATCACAAGGTGGGGAGGGAAAGGCTTCGAATCAGCTTCAAACAAGCATTAAAATCATCAGAAAGCCCCAAATTTGGTGGTGGGGATCTCAACCACCAACCCGACCCCCTCGGCGACTGCTTTGCGGCTCCGAGTTTGATAACGAATGGGTTTGATTTTTGGAGCTGGTGGGAGGTTTGGGAGCGGAGTCTCCACCCCTACAGCGGCCTCAATGGCTTAAAACTAAAATATTTAGCAGGTAAATGTCCCCGTGGGGAAGGGTGAAGGGAGTGAGACCCAGCACAACGCTTCGGACACCCACCCAATGCCAAGAAATAGGCAAAAACCTCCTTTTTTTGTTTTGGATGAAACGGAATTAAATGGGAAAGTTTTGCTCCTCCTGAAGCGAATTTAACTGGGAATGGCTGTGGATTTACGGTGCTGTTGCTCCCCGTTCAAATGGGGTTTGTGGCTCTTCCCTTCTTGCTCCCATTGGAGGAAATAAAAGGTCCTCGCTGTTTGGTTACCTGTTCCAGACGGTGCTCCGAAATTCTGGGATGATTCTGTGCTCCAAAATCTGTTTTAGTGATGTAATTAAATGCGCAAATGAATAAAACAGGAGGTGCCAAAGGCTGAACCCTGACTCTTGTAGGGGTTTGGACCCGAATTTTTGGGTGGTTTTCGGGGTGTCGGGGAGGTTTCCGGCCACGCTTTTCGGTGCCAGTTGCATTTAACGGAGCTGCTCCAGATTGGCGCCCGGGATGGAATTTTGGGGGGTGATGTTTTGGGGCAATAAATCCGGTTTTAGGGTCCCCCCCTGCTGACCACCACAGAGCCAATAGGCACCACGCTGGCTCCATAGCTCAGGGGTTAGAGCACTGGT